AAAAAAAAAAAAAAAAAAAAAAAAAAAAAAAAAAAAAAAGTCCCTGTAAAATGAAACAACTAAAACAACTAAATATTTAAAAGCTATGGAGTTCTTATATAGGTTTTTGAAGTGTCATTTTTTTCCATCGTTTATACCTAGAAGCTATACAGACTGTTGGCAGCTACTACAGAATTTTGTTGGACAGGAGGGATTGCATTACTGTGTGCCGAAAACTACTGAGCAGTCATCTGCATGATAGAAGGGATGGCAGAGAGGCAAGGTGCCTCACTTGTCAGGATAAGACAAAGGTTTGCTTGTTATTTTTAATTTCCTGAGCCCAGTTGCTGCCCTGCTGTTCTTCCTCAGTTTTATTCGTCCCATCTCACATCTGGTAATTGATTTTGATTAGCCCATGCTCCAGTTTTGGTAGTAATTACAAAACTACAGTTTGCCTCTGAATGTGGGAGAAGTTAAAGTCCTAACTACCAAGGCTGCAGAAAAACAAGTGGCAGGGGTCTGTGCATTTGTGAAAGATATGGGGGGATGGAGAGGGAGCTTTTAAACCTCCCTGTGGCTTAAAATGCTTTTCTCTATGCCTCTGAAGGCAGTGATGCCATTTCATATACATGCACAATGGGCCAAATCCAAGCTCAAATCACATCCACTTCAAGGCTTGATCTAGAAACGGCAGTGCAGTCAGGACAATGAATCTACATGTGCCTTTTAGATTTGGATAAAGGAGTTTGGTTTAAAATACATGTTGGGATGATTCTTTAAAAGCAGTTAGTTCAAAGTGGTTGTACTCATACTGAAAGGCATTTTTTTCTTTCTAGAGTCTGGCTAACATTTCTCCTTTATAGCAACAGACACTTGTATGTCTAGATGCAATGCCTAGGTCAGTATGAATCTATTCAGCTGTGAGAAATTCTGTATCTAATTTGACTATTAACATTTTACATTAAAAAAAAAAAAATCAGTATCTGTAATTTTATCTAAACCTATTAGCACCTTCAACAGTATAGTAGCCAAGCATTTGTCTACCACTCTGTGGGACTGAGAAGCTTTGTCTGAAAGCTTAGTTAAATTACTTGAAGGCCCAATAAATTTCAACCATGCTACAGACAGTTCAGGAAACATTCATATCTTACATTCCTTAATTAAAATTAAAAAAAAAAAAAACAAAAAAAAACCAAAACCAAACACAAAAAAACAACCCAACCCCAAACCAAAACCATAAAGATTGCAAATGATGATAACAACAAAAGTTGTAACCAAAATAGAGATTTTTTTTCTGAGATTCAAAAGCTTTTAGCATATGAAAAATCTCGAGTTGGTACTTCTGATAGTTCTGCTGTATATACACCCAGTGATTTATTACATTCAATCTCATGAAGAAGATGATGCTAAGAATACACTGCCAATGCTCATGTCCTATAATTGTTCAGTCACTTCAGAACTGCTGCCTTCTAGGGTATGTTCAGCTAACATGTGTTCTCCAAATAGCTGTGTTCCCTGCATGGTTTCATACATACTACAGCAGATGCTGTCTCAGTGAGCCCAGCTTAGCAGGCAGTTCAGACTGACCTACAAAATTAACAGGTCCTTAAAAATTTTTTACCATTTGGTGGGTTTTTGTATAATCTGTAGACTTTATCAGCAGTTAGTCTAAATTGTAAAATATTTGAAGTGTATTTCTCTTCAGGTTCAGGTCAGTCCCTGAGTGTTTCCTCTGAAGAAAATGCCAGTGGAAGTAGCCACAACACTGAACAGTATTCTCCTTTACAGATACAGATTTTCAGATATTCATAAAGACCAACAGTTTCAGTTTCTGTTCAGGGAGAGTGGATGTGTGCCGAGAATCTGGCTGCTAGCAGAAAGAGCAAATCAAACACACTTTAACTCAGCAGATCTCATATGGAGCTATGCCCAGATTTTGAAGTTGCCTTTTCCAGGAGGCTTTTTCCTTCAGAAATGCAGCTAATGCTGCAAGTGCAAGGTGTGTACCTTGCAGTAGTTTGGTGCATGTTGGTCATGCCAGCCTAAAAAATGCAGATTTTGGTAATAGTTTTGTTTCCTATGTATAGGAAACACTTGTAGGGCATCATTTTCTGCCTGGCTGAGGTCTAAATTAGAAACAGGGAATAACCAAAACATCCCATTTATCTGAATTCTTTAAACAGCATCCACATGTTTCAAGTAATTGGCCTATTGGAATCTAATTTTCTTTAAAAAACCTTCTTATTAAATCTGAAGGGGAAATAAGTGAATGTTGAGAGCGGCTCCATTCTACTTCAATGCATATTTGTTTTAGTTCGGTTATAGTGTCACAGTGGTTGCATTCATTCCTCT